TTCAGATATGCGACAGCCATTTCCAGCGCAATGCACGCATTGAGTTTGCCACGCAAAGCATGCCAAGCCGCGCCAGCTAGCGCAGAAACTTGTGGAGGGGTGTAGCTCGCCAAACTAATATTGCAGAATTGTAGTTGACATCAGCCAGCTACCCTCGATGTGGAAAAGTTCAGTAACGCATTTTCCACTTCACTGAAGTTTGTCAGTACACTGTGACTTACCGCCCCGCGCAGCGATAGCTCGTTGCCAGTCTACAAAACTCCGCAACATAGGGACGCTTCACATTCCAAATGGATATACTCAAAGAGTAAGTTTACACAGCGTCTGGAATCACGCGAAATACGCTACATCTCTAAATCTGCATCGCAAAGTAACGCAAAGACCCGCCAGAAAGCAACCACTCACCGTAGAGCGTGTCTCTGTTAAGGACTCAATGCTTGCAGTGACATAGATCAGCCTGACTGTCAGCTATCTAGTAGTAGAGGCAAGCTTATTTTGCTTCTGCATTCGCAGCTGTCGCTTCTGATGCAGAATGCAAATTTTTGAAAAAGAACTTCATCCCTGTCATCTTGTTTGAGCACATGGATCGATTACACTGCGCCCGCGTGTATGCAAACTCGTCTTGCTCTTCCTGCTCCTCTTTGCAGCAACCACCATAAAGCTATGGCCGGATGCGATTGGTGGGTTCTAGCCACGACCTTCCGGCCATACAGCCAGTAGGTCACGACCGTCCGGCCACGGCCACGGCCACGGCCATACAGCCATCCGACCACATCCATGGCCATCCGGCCACGGCCACGCCCATCCGGCCACGGCCACAGCCACGCCCATCCGGCCACGCCACGGACACAGCTACCCGCCCACGGCCACGGCCCACTGGTCCGCTGATCCACTGGTCCGCTGATCCGCTGATCTGCTGGTCCGCTGATCCGCTGATCCGCCGGCAATGGTTGGACAATATGACGTCCATGAGTGGGAAAGGACACTCTTGAGGCACTCTTGTAGGACACTCTTGTGGGACACTCTTGTGGGGCGCTCTTGTGGGACACTCTTGTGGGACACTCTTGTTTGTCACTCTTGTGGGGCACTCTTGTAGGACACTCTTGTAGGACATTCTTGTGGGACACTCTTGCGGGACAGTCTTGTGGGACACTCTTGTTTGTCACTCTTGTGAAACTCTCGTGGGACACTCTTGTTTGTCACGCTTGTGGGACACTCTTAGCGAAACACTCTTGTAGGACACTCTTGTGGGACACTCTTGTAGGACACTCGTCGGACACTCTCACTATTGTCGGACACACTTTTGTGGGGGACTACTAAACCAAAGTCTCCAAAAGTCAACCGTCACGTCTCCAATCCAAGCGTTCTTTACGAGATTTCCTCAAAACTCCCGCTTCGAGTCTGCAAAACGAGCGCTTCGTACGAGACTTCCTCCAAAAGTCACGCGTCCAGTCTCCAAAACGAGCGATTCGTACGAGACTTCTTCCAGAAGTCACATGTCAACGAAAATCGCACTTCCATACCTCAAACTGCGCCTGCCACGAAAAGTGACAATATCGTATCATATGAGCTTCACCAAAATTTGCACCACACCACACGTTTGGAGCCCGTTCTGAGCACACTCCCGTCCACCAAAATCGTCATTTCAGCAGAGAGGGCACGAAAACCTAGCTTCGATGCAACACCCTCAAACGCGAACCCCAATGTAACAGCCACATCCAACACCCCAAAAACACCACTCTCCAAGCGCCAATCCCAATGTGACTGCGCAGAAAACTGCCAATCTCACAAAACGCTGCGCCTGCGCAGTGAACTCATCCTCCACACTTCAACATCTTACGTTTCCACACGTTTCCTCGCTATTTCACACAATCAAATCTACACATCACGCTTCCATGCCAAACCTCTCCAAAACCTTCCCCCAATGGCAGCGGCCTTAGCGTCCTCCCGAACGGCGGCGAAACGGCGGCGAACGGCTGCGGACGGAACGCGTCGCGAACAAGGCTCTACCCCCAGACCCCCAGAGTTAAACGAGAACCCTTCGCTACGCATTCGGTAAAAATTGAAAGAATTGTTGACCCTCATGTTTGAAGTCTCGGAGCTCGAAGTGCCGCTCGCAGCGCCACGCAGAAGAGGCCACAGATGGATGTGCAGTTTTCCTTCAAAGGTGGATGAGATGAGAGTATGGCAAGATGCCCAAAAATCTTCCTGCTGCTGACCCCGCCACGTTGCAGGAGCTCAGAGACAATTGTTAGGGCATCCTAGCAGACATTCGCATCATCTTGGCGACACAGGTTACATTGATAGACAAAACATGGATGAATTGATATACAGTATAGCTGCAGCTGCTCAACATCTTTATTCAATAGAAGCATCAAAGCATTCAACCCAAGCTAAGGTGCAGCATCGCCGTAGCCATGCGAGAGCTTCCTCACCATACACAGCGACTCTTTTGCAAAAATGCGCACTTTTTTGCCGCCGACTTTAGGCAGCTTCAAAACCCTGCTGGAGCAAATCCGCATGGCATTCTGCGTGGCACTCTAGCCTCCTGGATATGTTTGGCTTTACCACAAGTACAACAGCGGCATGGTTTGGCGCGCAGAACAGAAGCTCTCCATCCGAACAGATTCCACCCCAATTGCCCTTGCCCGAGGTAATAAAGGACACTTGAGCCTGGGATGGCTCAAAGACCAACACCTCTGAAGCATTGTATGGGGAGCAGTACAGGACTCCACTGTGCTCACAAATGCCCATCCACTTGTGTTCGGCATTGCCCATTCCTGCATCATAGAAAGACAGTGTGCCTGTAGAAGGATTGACAACCATCAGCTCGGAAGCATCCAAGGGGCAACAGTACAGCAACCCACCATGTTCACATATACCGCTCCACTTGTTGCCACCTTGTCCTTTTCCAGTGTCAATGAAAGACACAGATCGCTTTCCTGGGTCGATCACCAACACCTCTGCTGCATTGCGAGGGCAGCAATAGAGAAACCCTCCATGCTCGCAAATGCCCTGCCACTGCCATTCGACATCACCCTTCCCGGTGTCAATGAAGGAAACTGAGCGGTCCAAAGGGTTGATGACCAACACGTCAGGGCCATTGGCTGGACAACAATAGAGAAAGCCGCCATACTCATATATGAAGCTCCACTTGTCAACTCCTGCCTCTCTGCCAGTGTCAATGTACGATAATGAATCGTCCAACGTGTCAATAACCAAGACCTCTGCTGCCTTTCGAGGACAGCAGTAAAGAAAACCATCAAAGCCCACAATACCAGACCACTTTCCATGCATGTCCCCCTTTCCACTGCTAATGAAGGAAACGTCATGAGTGATGGGGTGGACAACCATCACATCCCTGGCCTGGCTAGGCGCAAAGTAAAACATTCCCCTGTAATGACAGGCGGCACCCCACTTGAAACCACCCTGCCCGCGTGTAGTATCAATAAACGTTCGCATAGCAGTAGGCAGCTTTGCCCCTTCAACTTCCACCAATAGGCTGGCCAT